ATGAAACATAGAAATGGTAGCCTGATGCGTGATTCTTGAAATTTTGAATTCCCGGATTGCTTAAGCTTCCTTCAGCTCTCAACTCCTGTCTTCAACAATACTCTACTCCTGGCTTTCATTTCGCCAGGTGAGTTTGATAACGTTTTCCGCCTATAATTTGAATTTCGTTTGACCCACAGTTCAATTACGAATGGTCTGTTCGGGCCTTTCCCAGACATACCCATTCCTCTATGCTGCCTTCTGACGGCAACTCTACAACATTGTGCAGGTGTGATCTGATAAATAGCTAAAGCAAACCTCTTAGGCGTAACTATAGAAAATGAGAAAACATGGTATTCGGAAGGTGTTTAGTCCTGTAAATAACATAATCACGTGAGTAAATTCTTGAATCAAATCACATGTTTATATGATGGGGCAAAATTACCTTAATTTAGACAGAAGCAGTATTTTTCGCCTGCACGTCCATCAACCCATCAGAGTTTGCTGGCTTCAAATGAGTGTGATTCTCAGGAGGACCTTGTACCGGGTGCTTATTTGGCTATGTAAGTTCCAACTCGTTCCGATAAAATGAAAGCTTTCGAAATGGTTCTTTATCAGATTTTGAAAATTATAGGTCAAAAGGGAACGATACGGACCCTAAAAATATACTAAAACCTTCCCAACTCAGACCGTTAACTTCTTACGTAATACTCCGGGTAGTAAATGGCCTCTTGAACTCGTTCTTTTCCAAAAACAGGAAATGACTAACCCCGGTATGTTCGCATACCGGCTATAACACAAATGGATCTCTAACTTGTTGATGCTGTTGATTAAATAAATCTAATAATCCTTCCTGTGCTTTCCTGAATCAGTTATCATCTAATATCTTGATTTTTTCGAAAGATTCAATTATAACTAAGCTTTAGGGATGCAATTTCTAGAACGACTGTATCCAAATAATGGTTGCTGCGCCAAACAACGCTCTCATTCAATAAAATGGCGAGAAGTAAGGAGATAAATAGTCTATTAAAGTGTGTGGTAGAATGGCAATATATGCTCTTAACACGCATTGCTCGCATCCCGTGGGGTTTTGAACTTTCTCCAGAGACCACAAATAAGCTGCAAATGTTTTTCATACCAGGAAGGTACTACGCATGGTTAATTCGGGCTTACATTTTCTACTACTGATTTTTCTTCTTTCAGGATTCCATCAAATACATGGTTCGGTCCCTATGCTGCAAAGCCAAGTAACGCCACACTCCTTTGTGGTAGTAGTTATATAATTGTGAGGGTGAGCGGAAAGGTTAGTTGATGGTAGCTTTATTGTATCATTTCATTTACAGGAGATGCAGGTAGAAAAACCTACAAAAAACCCAGGTAGTAAATCTTAAAAGAGACCTAAACACACCTACTCGTGGCGGGAGGTGTGTCGAGGTCTCTTTTGAGGTTTATCGAATAGGTTGTAAAAGTTAGGATAACTTCTAAAATTATCAATATTCTAGACCTCATGAAGAGTATACTGCACCACGTGTCGCCGGACCATCTGCCAGGAGTGAGAAGGCTCACACGTGAAGAGCTCAATCTATATGAAAGACCCCTAACTTGGAGTCTCTTTTATGCCAAGTAGATGATTCGAACAAAAGCGCTGATCACTGATAAAATTTTAGGAAACAGGAAGGAAACAAGTGCGACCATTTATCGGCATACCTGCGGTCCAACAACTTCTACGTGGAGAATCATATATCATAATCATAATAAACAATAATCATATATTATCATACAAGTACTATATAATTGATTTGTGTGTAAATCAAAAAAAAAAATTGGGAACTGAGTCGCATGCCCAACGGTATCTCTATCGTGCTATAACGCAGCTCGACCTTTTCTAAGAAAAAAGTTCTCAAACATGCTGTGTCATTTTTTATTCTGATCGTACTTATGTGTAAGCTTCCTAAAGAAAATTTATGTTCAATCGAGCCTACATTCAATGTATCATTGTTGGGTCTAATATTATGAGGAAAGTATCGATCTTTTCTATTTAAAATAGAGCTCACATTTGGCATTTTGGCGGAGTTTGAAAATAATGTCGAGTTAGACATCAGTCAAATTCTGCTTGGACGACTCAGACCACCCAGATCAGTGGTGTTACCGTCTTCGCTAATATTTACATCCTGCATTTTTGCATAGTTTGGATACGTCAAGTTAGACTTAGCCAAGTTTCGACGTGGACAACTCAGACCACCCACATAGACTGTGTTACTGTTCAATGATAGTATCGATTTTTTGTGCTCGAATAGAGCTCATACCTGCATTTTTGCACAGTTCGAAGAAATGTCATGTCTAACATCAGTCAAATTTTGATATGAACAACTCAGGCCACCCACATACACTGTGTTACCGTAATCGATGATAGTATCGATCTTTTCTGCTCGACATGGAGCTTATGCTCTGTATTTTTGCACAGTTCAAAGATAATGTCCGATTGAACATCATTCAAATCTCGACTTCTTCGAAAGGTATTACATCATGCGCAACTCGGCACGCGAAGTGTCTTCTAATGGTTCGCCTAGCCTTTGAGAACACAAGTTTTCTAGATACTTATAGTTCTATAATTATTAGAAGATCTAGTAACAAGGAAACTCCTCGAGTCGAGCTTGCATGTTCCAAATATTATTTTGTGCGCCATAATAAGATGGAACTTCTTTCTTCTATGAGCAAGGGATGTTAGCCCAAGAGTTGCATTACAGACATGACTGTTTGGTATTTGATCGTAATCAGCAACTTTCTGGTGGAACTGTTTTGCACTTTCTCTTAGTAGCTGATGTTTTTT